TTCATTGGAAGGACTGATGCTGAAGCTGAAACTCCAATACTTTGGCCACCTGATGTGAAGAGCTGACTCATTGGAAAAGACCCTGATGCTGGGAGGGATTGGGGGCAGGAAGAGAAGGGGACGACGGAGGAGGAGATCGCTGGATGGCATCACCGACTCGATGGGCATGCATTTGAGTAAACTCCAGCAGTCTGTGATGGATAGGGAGGCCTGGTGTGTTGCGATTCATGGAGTCGCAAAGAGTCGGACAAGACTGAGCGACTGAACTGAACTGAATACAAAGTCATGCCACCTGCAATAGAGATAGTTTTGCTTCATTCCTTCCCAGTCTGAATGCCTTTTTTTTTCTCATTTTCTTGCCTAATTATCATGGTTAAAACCTCTAGTAACATGTTGAGTAGAAACTATAAAAGTGAATACTCTTTTTCCTGATCTTAGTGAGAAGTCATTCAGTCTTTTACCATGAAGTATTGTGTTAGTTTGGTATTGTTCACTATATGCCCATTATTTGGTTGAGGAAGTTCACTTTTATTGCTGGTTTAAGGTAAAGAATCTGCTTGCAATGGGCAAGACCCAGATTCTATCCCTGGGTTGGGAAGACCCCCTGGAGAAGGAGATGGCAATCCACTCCAGTATTCTTGCCCGGAGAATCCCATGGACAGAGACTGCAGTCCATGAGGTTACAGAGTCGGACATGATTCAGTGACTACACTTTTACTTTAAGTGTTTTTATTTTAACATAATTGAATGCTGAATGTTGTCAATTTTTTGTATCTACTGAGGTATCGTGGATTTTGTCTTTCATTGATGTATTCTGCTATGTTATATATACATATATATTACACACATACATACACATATATATGTTTATGTATATATTTGTATGTACTCAGATGCTCAGTCATGTCTGACTCTTTGCAACCCTATGGATTGTATCCCACCAGGCTCCTCTGTCCATAAGATTCTCCCAGCAGGAATACTGAAGTGGGGTGCCATTTCCTCCTCCAGGGGATCTTCCCAACCCAGGAATTGAACCTGAGTTTCCTGAGTCTCTTGCATTGGCAGGGAGATTCTTTACCACTAGCACCACCTGGAAGCCCATGTGTGTGTGTATGTGTGTGTATAAAATTAATTTTATATTGCTGGCATAATTTCTACTTGGTTATGCTTATATAGTCTTGTCTGTATATTGATAGATTCAATTTGCTACTATTTTGTTCATTTAAAAAAATTTTTTTTATTTTTTATTTTTTTTGGTTTTTGTCATACATTGAAATGAATCAGCCATGGATTTACATGTATTCCCCATCCCGGTCCCCCCTCCCACCTCCCTCTCCACCCGATCCCTCTGGGTCTTCCCAGTGCACCAGGCCCGAGCACTTGTCTCATGCACCCAACCTGGGCTGGTGATCTGTTTCACCCTAGATAATATACATGTTTCAATGCTGTTCTCTTGAAACATCCCACCCTCGCCTTCTCCCAGAGTCCACAAGTCTGTTCTATACATCTGAGTCTCTTTTTCTGTTTTGCATATAGGGTTATCGTTACCATCTTTCTAAATTCCATATATATGTGTTAGTATACTGTAATGGTCTTTATCTTTCTGGCTTACTTCACACATTTTTATATTTATATTCATAAGAGACAGTGGTCTGTGTTTTTCTTGTGACATCTTTTTCTAGTGTTGGTATTAGGGTAATATTGGATTCTTAAAGATTAAGAAGTATTCTCTCCCATTAACTTCTTTGGAAGATTTTGTAATGAATTGGTATTAATTTTTTTGCTGGAATTCACCAGTGAAGCTGTCTGGACCTGGGCATTTTCTTTGTAAATAACATTTTGATTATTATCCCATTACGTTTCTATTCAGACTTTTCATTTCTTCTTGAGTCAGCTTGAGTAGTTTGCATCTGTTTCATCATAGTTATCTAACATGTCAGCTTGGAGTTGGTCATGCCCTTATAACCTTTATTTATGTAAGATCTGTAGTGTTTTTTCTTTCATTCACGATTTCAATAATTTGAGTCTTTTTTTCCCTCAACCTAATGCAAAATGTATTAGTTTGTATTTTCAAAGAACCAAATTTTTGTTCTATTAATTGTTTTCTATTAGTTCTCTATTCTTTATTAATTTCTACTCTAATCTTTCTTTTTTCTTTCTCTGGGTTCACTTTGTTCTTTTCTTAAAAAGTTTTAACGATTTAAAAACTTGAAGTACAGGTAATTTACAATGCTGTGTTAGTTTCAGGTATACAGCAAAGAGATTCTGTGTGTGTGTGCATACATATGTATTTGATAGGTTAAGGGTTCCAAAGTGCATACAAGAACAGCTGACTATTTAATTGAGCATATTCATAGGCCAATGTACATAGTGAACTCAGAAAGAAATCGTGAGATGAGATGGCACTGTCCTGGGCATTGACCTGGTCTGTCTGCCAGTAGACATTCGCTGCATACACCCATTTTCTTCCATGGCTAATTATATCTAATTTTTACTGGTCTCTGAAAATGATTTTGAGGAATGCCTTTTATTATTGTCCCTCAGTTACTACAGAAAAAGTAAAAGTGAAAGTGAAAAGTGAATGTCAGCAAATGTTGCCTAGAGAAAATGGGTTCCATGTTTCACATTACTGTATTGCTTGTCTACTTTGCTTTAAAAATGTTGGATATTGCTTGATTCTCTATTTTTTGGATGTTATTTCTTGGATGTTTTTGTATCCTTTCTTACCAAAAAAGGGGTAGTATGAAAGATATTTAATAATCTATATGTCAGGAAAGAGGTGGTATTTGTATTGAAGGGAAACCCCATTCTACTCCATTTTAATGACCATTAATAGTGGTTTATACTATTACCTTAGCAACACTTATCATTCTTAAAAATAAAGCAGCCACAATGATTTTAATTGTGATTAATGAAAGGACCCCTCCAAGCTTCTTAGTTAACTGTCCACACTCGGTGCTTAATGAGAGTTCACACTCAGGCCCCCTGTGACTCCAGCAGCCTGTGGGACAAAGACAGATCAGTTTGCATCCCCATCTCACTTCACTTAGAAAAGACCCTGGTGCTGGGAAAGATTGAGGGCAGGAAGAGAAGGGGGTGATAAAGGATGAGATGGTTGGATGACATCACTGACTCAACGGACGTGAGTTTGAGCAAGCTCTGGCAGGTGAAGGACAAGGAAGCCTGACGTGCTGTAGTCCATGGGGTCACAAAGAGTTGGACACAACTGAGCAACAGCGCACCTCACTGGCTGTGTGAAATCGGGGACATTACATTCCCCTCTTCCTTTTGTGTTTTCAGGTTCTTCATTTTGCAGGGGATAATGACACCAGCTCTGCAGGGTGGTGAGGATTTCATGAGTTAATATAAACTCATTGTCTAAATTGTCTGAATATTAGTTGCATTCTGCTCCCCTTTAGCTCCCTCTCTGTACTTATAAAAATTATGTATTATGACTGGTATATTGAGTGTTCATATAGCACTTTAGGTTAAACAGTAAAGATCTGCTGTGATTGTGTGTGTGTGTTGAGGATCGGCTAATTTCCAAGTCTGCATTACCTTTCCTGGATTCTTCCTCCCTTGGACTGACTTTGCATCTTTTCCCTGGGTGCTGGGTGATGTGAGAGCAAAGCTGCTCAGAACCACGGTCCAATAAGGAGGAACAGACTGACTCCAGTTAGCCACTCAGTAGATCAACAGCCCTGTTGAAAACTGAGGGTTAACTATAATTGGATTTAGAATTAGAGAATTTTAAAATGAAATTTGAATTGTTATGTAGGAAAAGTGAAAGCAAATAATACCACTTAATTTATTTATTTTTTCCTTTAAGCTATCCACAGAGGGTAAAGCAGTCTTTTCCTGTTTTCTTTTACTAATTCTCTCAAACATCTGGTTCCTTTGGTAGGTGCTTCCTAGTTAATCGTCGGAGCTGCAAGCAACATGCCGGAGCAGAGCAATGATTACAGGGTGGCCGTGTTCGGCGCAGGTGGTGTTGGCAAGAGCTCTCTCGTCTTGAGGTTTGTGAAAGGCACGTTTCGGGAGAGCTACATCCCCACCGTGGAAGACACGTACCGGCAGGTCATCAGCTGTGACAAGAGCATCTGCACCCTGCAGATCACGGACACCACGGGCAGCCACCAGTTCCCGGCCATGCAGCGGCTATCCATCTCCAAAGGCCACGCCTTCATCCTGGTCTACTCCATCACCAGCCGGCAGTCTCTGGAGGAGCTCAAGCCCATCTATGAACAGATCTGCGAGATCAAAGGGGACGTGGAGAGCATCCCCATCATGCTGGTGGGGAACAAGTGTGACGAGAGCCCGAACCGCGAAGTGGAGAGCAGCGAGGCCGAGGTGCTGGCCCGCAAGTGGAAGTGCGCCTTCATGGAGACCTCGGCCAAGCTCAACCTCAACGTGAAGGAGCTCTTCCAGGAGCTGCTCAACCTGGAGAAGCGCAGGACCGTGAGCCTCCAAATCGACGGGAAAAAGAGCAAGCAGCAGAAAAGGAAAGAGAAGCTCAAAGGCAAGTGCGTGGTGATGTGAACCGCCCTCCCGTGGGAGCAACGGTTGTGTGTCCCCCTCTCCGCCCCTCCCCGTCCCACGTGACACCCGCCGTCGTCAGGGTAGCATGTCAGACGCCCACGTGTTAAATATTGCATTTTGACTGAGACGTGCCCAACTGTCCTCAGAGGGCATTTCACACCACCACCGATAAGCACCCCCTCTCCGGAATCAGGGAATCTGACGGATGCTTAAAATGAAAACCAACATGCTCGGCATCGCAGGGAACCCAAGGGACATCAGCCATTTCTGGAGGCATCCTTGGCCCTCAGGAGGCAGGAAGGCTCGTGTCTGCCGAAGGCCAGTGTGCTGTGCTGATAGCAGGAGGTACCATCTGGATACACGTGAGAGCACGTTAACCCAGAGCTGCAGGCACCACCCCCCAGACCAGGCCTCCCCTCTGCTCCAAGCCTGTGACATCCCTGGGGGATGGGAGGGGCAGGAGGAGGCAAGAAGACCAGGCCAAAGTTGTTCCCTTCTATGGTTCTTTAACTGAATTAAAAATAATACAGCTGACCTGTGAGCCTTGCCACTCTGAGGGGATGTCCTCCCTAACCTAGTTGTTAGCAGGTATCATTTTAACCTTTTAGAGTATTTCTTTTCACATACAATGGTGAATTCACTAAGAGTGTGCCACTGTCAGAAATTCTTCAATTTCCATTTGAAACGTTTGTGTGAGGATATTGTGACAATACTGAAACATCACAATAATACTTTTGTGTGTGATATTTTGAAAGTTTCAGAAATGTAGTTTCCTTCCTTTGACCCATGAGGGGTATAACTCTTCCAGCCCTTAGATTTTAAATAAAACCAATCAAAGTAGCTATTTTTTACACATTTTTTGTCCTCCAACATGATCTTTTTTTCAATAACTTGCTCTATCTCCAACTGAGTAACAGACAATAAAGGCCCTCTGAAGACCAGAAGCACATTCATTTTCTAACAGACAGGGACACGTCTGTGCCATACTTTGCACCTTAATGAAATACTTTGAGACAGAAGTTGTTCACTGTGTTTTTGATGATTATCTCTAACAAGTATATTCCTGGAAAATGAGTTCAAGTAATCGATTATGGTGCATGTTCCTTTAGAAATGTCTTCTAAGAGCTGGCCAATGCTGGGTTCACTTGAAACAATCTCATGTGCATCCTTAAACCACTGCTGGTTGCTGCATGCTGGCTGGAGACAGGTCTTGCAGGCCTCTGTCACGGGCAGGGCACAGCCTACTCAGCTAATTCTTCTGCTGGCATCTTCAAGCCTTCTTCAAGGCTGCTTTGGAACTGCTTCCTGAAAATTCCCACTGACAGAGCCTGTGAGTTTTCCTCTTGGTTCCAGTCTGCATCCCACTCTGGCTTCCTCTGGGATGCTCCCTTGCATAACACCTTCCTGTCGCCTGCCTGGCAGGCAGAGTGAGTGCTGCCCTCAGGCTTGTGCAGGGATGCTTCCAGTCTGCTGGGCAGCAGTGCTAGCTGGTACTGAGTGGTCAGGTTCAGGACCTTTATGGATGCCACTCTCTCCTGCACTTTCTGTTTTTCCTGCCCTTCCTGCTGTGGCCACTTGTAGGCAGCTCTGTGCTCTCAACAGATCCTAAATTCCCCCTTTTGGTTTAATTTTCTTGCCTTCCTCTCATCCCCTCTGCTCTGCTAATAACTCATCTTTGTGATGTATTTAGTTTGTAGGAGGCACTTTGCAAGCCATTGGCTCCATGGTCTGCCCACCACTCTGGCCTCCTAGAATACAACTTGGGCAGGGAGGGTAGAGATGGCTGGCCTGGCTACCAGCGGGGATCAGGGAAACCCAGAACTCCTGGTCCAGAATCAAGTCCCTCTCCAAGTCCTAACAGTCATACCTTCTGCTGGGCTCCTGTTCCACATGACTGTTGCACAGCCTTCACAGTGAGATCTCATTGTTGAATTTTCTAGAACATTTGCTTTTCAACTTGTCCCCCCCGCCCCTTTTCCATTCTCAGAGAGATGCCATCCATTTGTAATTTAGATTTTGGTTAAGTGGAAAGAGAAATGGGACTTCATGGCCAAAATGAACTATAGAGATCTTAGGTGGGTTCAGCTAATGGTAAATGTGATGTCTGCCATGAGCTGTCCTGTCTACAAGGCTCCCAGTTTGCAGGCTTCCCATGACTGCCACATTGCTCCTGATCCAAGTTAGAAATTCATTTAGCCCTTTCAAGACAATGTCACATTTTTAAGTGTTTACAACTTTATCAATGTGAGAAGCTTGTAATTATTGAAAATCTGATGTCATTCAGGACATTTTGTTCCTTTGTATTTTGCCTGTGAGTTTACTGGAAGGCTATTGATGCCTCAATCATGGGTCTTTGTTCTGAGATCATTTTTTATGAACTGCACTGAGGGTATAGATGATTATCTCAAAATAATCTTTTCAAAGCTCTCCAATTGACACTCAGGGCTCAAGGAGTTAGTTCCACTGAATCAGATGTTTTTAGCATTTATGTGGCCCCATCCTTGAATAAGTAGTTGTGATATTTGAGGACATATCCTACATTGTGTATGGACACAAAAGATTTTGACCTTGCCTCAGTAAGTTACAAAACTCAAAGTATTGCTTAGAAGATGGCTCTCTGGGAATAAGCTTGGGGCTCCATGGGTCCCATTCTGTCCCTGACAATCCCTTTTCCATCTGGTGACAAGCCATGGGCGTGCCCTAGGCATGCATGCAATACAGCAAGACCAACTCAAGAGCAATATTGAATTGTTCATTAGACCTAAAATTATATATATATGTATAAATATATATATAATTTCTCTTCCTGCATTTTTGAAGTATAAATTAGTACATTTTATATATCTGTAAGCTAGTATATTTGTTTCACCATTTGTAATATTTAAGAAATACTCTTTATAGAACAAAAGTATTAAATATTCAAAAAATGCTCTGTGATACTTAATTTTTTTTCAAAATTTGTAATGTGTTGCTCCTACATAAGATCTCTGGAAATATCTATAACTAATGGGACACATGTAAACCCTTGAAGATCCATCCTGAAATTCAGTGTCCCACAAAGATAGTGTGTGGACAGAGCATTTACAGAGCATGACTTTTATACGTGTGGGATGGCAATGTGTATATTTATATTTAAGGTGTATTTACTGTTACAATTCCATTATCTATTTTATCTACAGTTATAAAAATCACTCTTGCATATGAGTTTCTAGTTGCCAGTGATGTTCTGAAAACAATAAGCATATTAAAATAAAGCTTTGGTTCTGACACACAGCTAGAAGGTGTTGATATTTCTTTCTCTTCATGACATTGCGCGTCTGTGATGATCTTGACCTAGTTCTTCTACAGTTGCTTTCTTGCACCTGATGACCACATGGGAAACTGTCAGGCCTTGCAGGTTTGGGCTTGGCAGCAGAAGCTGCCCCGTGGGGTGCTGAGAAAATTTCCCCACTAGTTCCTGTCACTGGACTGATCTGATCCTCTGGGCTGAGTGAGGTGAGAGGAAAGAAGTTGAGGTAGGACCCTCCTTGGCTTCAAATAGGAGCAGTGAAGTGAAGAAAAGCTCCTCTTTAATTTTGTTTCCCCCAAACTCTTGCCTCCTCACAAAGGCCAGGCTATTAAGTGGGGTTGATATAAAAAGCCCAGTGCAGTTCCTGGGCACAATTTCTGTCTGACATCCTTGGTCCTTACCCCTTCTTTGCAATACTGACTATAAAATAAACCTTACTTTTGATTTTGAAAGCTGATAACTGTCAACACAACAGAACCATCATTTAGCCAATGAATAGCTAGATGACTGGGGGCAGGCTCTTAACCACCCTGTGCTTCTGCAAACTGGGAATCATTAACATCCGCAGTGTGAGTGGCCCTGAGAATTACATTAATGATAAGTACAAAGCACTTGGAGTTGTCTTATCACACACTGAGCTTTCAAGGGAAATAAAATCCCTCTGGACGATGTATGACTCTGTTTGGAAGGTCTGTAGCATTGTGAAAATTAATCTATGCAGATACAACAATCAACCAGAACCTTTCAGTTTTTTTTTTTAAGCCTCTATAACAGCATTCTCCAGTCTGACTCTCAGAGTACTGCCGTCCCCTTCCCTTCTCAAGGTCATTAATACTACATTATTCAGGGATTTTTCCATTTACAGAAATAATTACAACTGGCAGGCCCCATTAGGCCCCATTAAAGGGCATCCCATTGAGTGCGTATCAAGCTTTAATGTGCAAATAAAGCACTTGATTGTGCTTCTGCAGAGTCTGAGTCAGCAGGCTGCAGTGGGGGCCTAAGAATCTGCATTTCTAACAGGCTCTCAGGTGATTTGGCTGCTTCTGGTCACTGAGTAGCAAGGCTGTAACCTACTTACACTCCAGTTTTGCTGCACACTGGAATTGTGTGGAGTCTTGAAACTTACTGTTGGAGAAGAAAAATTTTCCTCTACACTTCTAGGTTCTTTTGGCTGGCCTAATAATTACATGGAAATGAGGATAACAGAAAAACAAAATTTAATTATGGGATTCCTTTGTGGCTCAGATGGTAAAGAGTCTACGTGCAATGCAGGAGACCTGGGGTTTGATCAAAAAGGTAAAAAAGTAAGTGGTGGCCCAATTCCTGGAAAGCCTCACCCCTTCTTCCAAATTACTAGATTATTCCTCCCATTTGTTAGCTGGATATCATTATCCAGCCCATAAAAGCTAACCATACCCCATACCCCATACCCCCATACTCCAGGGCCACTGTCACTTGAGATGGCCCACATCCACATTCTGTCTATGGAATGTGTTTATCTGTCTAAATTCGCTTCCACTTTACTATGGCTTGCTCTGGATTTCTTTCCTCATTTGGCAGCCGGCCCCAGAAACTCACCCAACTCTTAGAACAGCAGTGACATGACCATTCTCTTGTGCTCCTTTATCCTGCAACAGAGTCTAATACCCACAAAAGAGTATTACTTAAACATAATTTTTCTCTCTAAACATCACCCTCATTTTTACCAAAGATAGACACATTCAGTTCATTTCAGTTGCTCAGTCATGTCCGACTCTTTGTGACCCCATGAATCGCAGCACACCAGGCCTCCCTGTCCATTACAAACTCCNTTCATTACACTTGACTTGGCTATATACATGAGGGCAGCAAGAATAGTGACTGACCATATAGAATCTTTTAAAATCTGCTTTGCTGGATTTTTTTCATAAGGATTCTCAGATTGAACTTTTAAAGGCTTCTCAAGGCTAAGAGGCTAGCCAAGGACTTGTTTGTCTTCAGATTTCCCCTGTAAGAGCTAAAGATTTGGACTAATTCCTTTGATTTTGAAGTTCCCAACATTTTCTGAGGTTCCTATACTTGCCAGGAAGAGACTTTTTTACCTGGTTAGTTTGTCAGGAAAGGTGTAAGCAAGCTATATAGAGCTCTATGCCACGGTCACACGTGTGGAGTCTTGCACCTAGATCACAGGACTTTTATCTCCGGAATTAACCAAGCCCCATAGCAGCTGCTGCCATAAGCCTCCAGATCTAAACCGGCCAGCTCCCTGACCTCATATTAAGTAAAATACCCACTCTGTTACCCATTCTATAGCTTTCTAACCAATCACCTAATGCCACTCTTCACATAGGAATTTTCTCTGTCTTGAGGCTATAAAAATTGGCCTCCAGCCTATGAAAGGCTGGAGAAAAGTAATGGTAACCCACTCCAGTACTCTTGCCTGGAAAATCCATGGATGGAAGAGCCGGGTAGGCTGCAGTCAATGGGGTCGCACAGAGTCGGACACGACTGAAGCAACTTACCAGCAGAAACAGCAGCAAGGCATCAGCTCTCCCTGGTCTGCCAGGAAGTCAACCTGCAGCATTTTTGGCACCCTCATTATTCTCCTTTCAGTTGTCTCTTCCTTCAGCTGGCCCACTGTTCCAACAGTGTCTCCTGCTCTAATAAACTTTATTCTTCTCTAATCCGCCTCATGTCTGAAAATTCTTTTCCAACCCTTGCACAGACCATGACACAAAGTATCAGATTTTTTTCAAGGGGTTTTATTGGCTCTATTAAGTCAACTTTAGTTTCTTAAGGGCTTCCCTCATAGCTCAGTTGGTGAGCAATCCGCCTGCAATGCAGGAGACCTGGATTCAATCCCTGGGTTGGGAAGATCCCCTGGAGAAGGGAAAGCTACCCACTCCAGTATTCTGGCCTGGACAATTCCATGGACTGTATAGTCCGTGAGTCGGACACGACTGAGTAACTTTCACTTAGTTTCTTAAATCTGTTTAATCATATCTGAGTTTATGCATGCCTCTCTGAAACATGACATTCTAGTCAAAGCCTTGGTAATACAGCCAATGCTTCCAGTTGTGTCCTGGCATAAGGAGACAGATTTTTAGTGAATTTACGCAAATAACTATATTGCCATAAAGAGTACTCAATGAGTTTTCAATTCTAGAGCAATCAGGTAGGGAGAAAAAGATAAGCATTTCAATTTGCTTACAAAGGAATAATTTACGAAATCTCTGTAAGTTATAGTTTAAGAGGAAAGATTTCCTTATATCTGGAAAACAAAACATTAACAAAAATTAGCAATGTTTCAGACAAAAAAGTCATAAAAGTTAAAATCATCCTGTTCATTCAGTCCCATGTGGTTAATTCTTGTTGATCTTTAGCTAGCAGTCTTACAATGCCATCTGTTTCTCTATTAGTAACTTTATACCTAGTTTAGCGGTACAATCTGAAAGTTGTCCGAGACTGTATTTTAGGACACTTTAGAGTCATTTCCATGAATTTTTCTGAAGATTAAACATAGTTGCAAGAGCAAAAAGACTTAAAAATGACCATGATTAAGTATCAAATGAAAATTCATTGATGTAATTGACAAGGAAATTTGGTTATTTCTGTGACATACACTTTAAAAATAGCAATTAGAATCACAAACAATAACATTATACTTGGAAACATATCAGAATTTTAGGAATTTTATATAATTTCTAGAGTACTTACATTAATAACATTTACCCATGCAATATAATCTAAGAAGATTTATTGTCACTTATTTGATAATGTTTCCCATGTAATTTAACATATCAAATACACCTAATTAGTTTAATCTCTCTCTTTTTGTAAGGAGACAGAGTAAATCCTTTCAGGCGAGACAGAAGCCCTCTAGAAATTCTCAAAGTTAGTTTTTGATCTAAAACACTTCATTTAGAATTTGAATTTGGGGGAATTTTGTCAAGAAATATCAAAGAGATTATAGAACATTTGGTTAAATAGGATCATAGCTTGCAGGCAAGCATGCTAAGTCACTTCAGTCCTGCCTGACTTTTTGCAACCCTATGGATTGTAGCCCGCCAGGCCCTGTCCATGGGATTCTCCAGGCAAGAATACTGGAGTGGGTTGCCATGCCCTCCTCCAGAGGATCATCTCAACGCAGAGATCAAACCCGTGTCTCTTATGTCTCCTGCATTGGCAGGCGGGTTCTTTACCACTAGTGCCACCTGGGAAACTCTAGGATCTTAGGTTATTGTGAAACAATACTTACTCATTTAACAATGGCAACAATTAAAAATTTCATAGGCAAACACAGAAAGTTAAATAGTTGTAAAAATTTAAATAGTTGTAAAAAGTCATTTTAATATAGGAAAGATTTAACGTTTAAAAATATTAAAAAACCTGATAAAGGCAAAACACAGAACCTTTGCTTTTCTAGGCAAACTAAAGATACAGGGAAATCTTTCATGAGAACAGATGAAGCAAAATTAAGTTTTAGTTTTATCTAAGTACACTATTGATAGTAAAGCTTGTTTTTTAAAATTTTTATAACAAATTCATTGATCTTTCCTAAGATTCCTTTTTTAGAGAGCTTCTTCAACTTTCTACATCCATTTAAATTTATTCCTTATTTTTTTCCCATTCAGCTTTATTTTAGGGCAAAATCATTTTATTTTTCCTCAACAGAAATACATCTTCACATCCTATACATTTTCTAACTGAAACTACATCCCACTTTCCTTGCAAATAAAATTGTTTCCCTTATAATTTCAAGTAGTGTTGATTATATGTATTAATTAGAATTCTCAACCCCTGGAAACTTTAATTTCTAGTGAAAATTAAGAAGTAAGCAATTGTGAACTATTACATAGCAGTCTTTAGATTGGCGAATTTATGGAATGTGTTTCATAATTTCTAAATATATGCATTTTTGCATAGCGCAAGTTTTCAAAGTGGCATATGCCGTATTTATTAATAGACTCAAATGTCTTTAGACTCTGTAATAAGAAATCAA